GGGGTGTGCGCACGCGCACGTCCCGGGGGCGTGGCCGGGGCGGAAGTCAGCTCGCGTCTCCCGGTTGCTAGGAGACAGGGCTTCCACAGGCGAGGCTGAAGTTCTGCCGCTTCTTTCTCCGCTCCTGCGTCCCCCGGCCCGGCCGCGATGGCGGACCCCGAGGTTGAGGTCCTGCGCAGCACCTTCCCCTCCTACATGGCGGAGGGCGAGCGGCTGTACCTGTGCGGGGAGTTCACGAAGGCTGTGCAGAGCTTCAGCAACGTGAGTGGGCTGCGGACCGGTCCATCCGCGGCAGCCTGGACTCCCGGGAACGCGGGGTCCTGACCCTGCTGAGGCCGCAGGGCCCTCTCCGTGTAATTCCGATTCCTGATTGATAAGACCAGGCGCAGGCAAGCCCTGGGCTTGGGGCACCGCAGCCCCAAACTGGGGCTCGAACCCGCGCCTTCTCACTGACCTGCATCCTCAAACATCCACCCCCCTTTTTTACTTTGAGGCAGCGTCTTGCTAAATCACTGAGTCGCCGCCGAGGCTGGGCCAGAGCCTGTGATCCGCCTGCCTCAGCCTTCCAGGGTGCAGGGATGACAGGTGTGCACCGCCACGCCCCTCGCCTGCTCATTTTCCGTCCATTTCTACTCGCGTCTTTTATTCTCCGAATTAACAGTGACCTCTCCCTCTGGTTTATTTAAATGTTTCGTGACTGCCCTTTCCCCGAGCAGCCCGGATTTCCTTCTCATCATGGGCCAGGAGGCTGGGTGTAGAGGCTGCGAAATCTCTAGTGCACGGCTGCTCAAGGAAAGGTGCTCGGTAAAGACCCGCATCGTTAAAGTAACCTTAGTAGAAGTTAGGCTCAGGCTTTAGTATGACCACACCCTGAGAGGGTTGCAGTGCTGGTTGAGCACAGGGCTGGGAACGGGGTCCTCGTCTCATTTTGTGTTGCTGTGTCGTTGGTGGATGTTGCACTCGCCTCGGGGAACTGGCACAGACCCATATCACAGCTGTTTTTCCTTCCCTCTCCGGGTGAGCCGCAGCTATTGCTTCAATTTACAGAGGAGGAAACCCAGGGTTGAGCACCGTGCCAAGGTCACTCACTGAACTCGCGGGGGGCAGAGAAGGGACCCGGAGCCAGGCACTCAGACTGCAGAGCTGGGGTGCAGTTAGCGTGGGGGGGGGACCCCAAAGGGCTCAGGTGCCACTTCCTTGGCTGGGGGAGGGGGGGCCTGGGCCCTGGCGCACATGTGCTCTGAAAGCGCGGCCCCCCAGCTAGGCATGCAGCCGTGGCCACCTCTCCTGCCACATGGACTGGCCCCACAGCCGACCACGGGCTGACTCGAAAACCACACTTCTCAGCGGTCACCCAGTCTTCTGTCCCTGTCAGTCACCCGCCACGCGCTGACACCAGACCTAGGCCCTGACGGGCGAAACGCTGGGGTCCACCTCCTCTTGCTGGGTCACACCCCTTCCAAAGCAGCCAGGAAGAAAGAACAGGTACCGCCAAGGACCGTGGCCACGCCTGAGATGTGCTCTCCTTCCAGGAAAGGTGTAGCTACTTCCACTTCCTAGGAAAGCAGGAAGGGCTGTGGCAGGGGCAGATCCAGCGGGGGCCCCAGGAAGGCTGGCTGGCCAGACCGTGGTGAGGGTCTGGTCAGAGACAGACACCAGGGGTTGGGGAACCGCCGTCCCCACACTGAGGCCCACGTCACAGTCTGTTTTCCCAATCCTGATGCTGAAGCACTGAGAGCTCTCAATGAGCTACATTAAATAAAAGACAAGGCTCAACCCGGGCACGGGCTGTGCACCTGTCATCCCAGCTACTCTGGAGGCTGAGGCAGGAGGAGGATTGGAGTTTGAGACCAGCCTGGATAGCATAGCAAGACCTCATCTCTCTACAAAAAAAAGAAAAAAAGAAAAGTCAGATGTGATAGTGTGTGTCATCCCAGCACTCGAGAGGCTGAGGCAGGAGGATTACTGTGAGTTCAAGGCCAGTCTGCGCTACACAGCAACACCCTGTATCAAAAAAAAAAAAAAAAAGAAAAGAAAAGAAAAAAGAGAGAGTGAAAGCTTGGGCCAGGATGTAGCCTAGTGTTAGAGTGCTTGCCTAGAATGCATAGGGCCCTGGTTCTGTTCCATGCCCAAAAATGCAAAAAAGAAAAAGTAAGGAAAAGTTAGTAGCAAAATAATGCAACTTGCAGACTGCCCCCAGTCTTTTTTGCTTTCATTAGCATTTGAAATGCATTTTGGGAGCTGGGCGTGGTGGCACACGCCTGTAATCCCCAACACTCGGGAGGCTGAGGCCGGAGGATCATTGTGAGTTCGAGGCCAGCCTGGGCTACAAAGTGAGCCCAGCCTGAACTACATAGCGAGACCTTGCCTCAAAAATACCAAAAATACCAAAAAAAATAATGCATTTTGGGATCAGGGTTATAGCTCAGTGGCACAAGTGCCAGCCCAGCATGTGCAAGGTCCTGAGTTTGATTCCCATACAAAAGAAAAGAAAAAACAAAAGTATTCTGAAAAGCCGTGCATTGTAGTACACATCAGTCACCCCAGCACTTAGGAGGATGAGGCAAGAGGATTGCTGCAAGTTCAAGCCCAGCCTGAACTACATAGTGAGACCTTGTCTCAAAAAAAAAAAGGAGCCCGGGGAGGCCTGGTGTTCCCTGGTGCCGTGGGAGGGCCGTACCACACTTCCCGGAAGCCAGGCTGAGCTCCCAGCCGTGGCCCTTCCCCAGGCCCTTCACCTGCAGAGTGGAGACAAGAACTGCCTGGTGGCCCGCTCCAAGTGCTACCTGAAGATGGGAGATCTGGCACAGTCCCTGAAGGACGCCGAGGCCTCGCTGCAGAGTGACCCGACCTTCTGCAAGGTGGGAGGACGCGACCCGCTGTCCTGGGGCTGCGGCCCTGGGCGCCATGGCCTGCCTCCCCACGTCATCCGCTCCAGGGCCCTCGGCCTCCACCCGGGCCACGGATCTGACTTTCCGTCACCGCAGGGGATTCTGCAGAAGGCAGAGACGCTGTACACGATGGGGGACTTCGAGTTCGCCCTGGTCTTTTATCACCGAGGCTACAAGCTGCGGCCCGACCGGGAATTCAAAGTGGGGATTCAGAAAGCTCAGGAGGCCATCAACAACTCCGTGGGAAGTGAGTGGCGGTGGGGGTGCCCTGTCCGGCAGGCTCTGCAGGCACCAGGCTTAGAGGAAAGCAGAGATAGAGTGGGCCTGGGGGGCTTATACTCCGGTTGGCTGTCACTCGTCTTTTATTTATTTATTTATTTTTTAAGACAGGGGGCCAGGGATATAGCTCAGTGGCGCAAGTGCCTGCCTGGCAAAAGCGCAAGGTTGTGAGTTCGATTCCCGGTACCAAAAAAAAAAATTGTAACTGTATCATTGCGCTGATTTCTTGGGGCAGGGATTTTGTGTGTGTGTGTATGTGTGTGGTACTGGGGATCACACCCAGTATTGTACATATCAAGCAAACATTCTACCACTGAGCTACATCCACAGCACTTCTTTTTGGCAAGCCTGAGGTCATGAGTTCAATTCCCGGTACCAAAAATAGGTAAATAAATTCTGGGCTGGGGATATAGCTCAGTGGCACAAGCACCTGCGTGGCAAGTGCAAGGTCCTAAGTTCGATTCCCAGTACCCAAAAATAAATAAGTAAGTAAGTAAATAAATAAATAAATAAGACAGGGTCTCCCTATGCAGTTCAGGCTGGCCTCAAACTCACAGCAGTCCTCCTGCCTCAGCCTCCCGAGTACTGGGATAACAGGCGTGCACCACGGTGTGGTTGATGTTCAGAGGCTAGGAACTGCCTCTGGCTGTCCTCCAAGGGCACTGAAGCCTGGAGTCTGGGGGTGGACCCAAATCCTCCTCCAGCATGCCCCAGGCTCCAGCTCCCTCCCTCATCCGGGTGACGTGGGGGAGGGCGGAGAAGGAGGCGGGGGTTGGGGGGGAGCAGAGGTTGCCCGTGGGCAGCACGGTGTGCAAATGGCAGAGAGTTTGGAAACCCAGCTGCCCTGGCCCTTGCCTGCTGGGGCCGCCCTTGCTGGGCAGCGTTGCCTGCAGCAAAGGGTGACAGGTCGTCCCCAGAGGCCGGGCAGCTCAGCCACACCCCGTCCCGCAGGTCCTTCCTCAATTAAGCTGGAGAACACGGGGGACCTCGCCTTCCTGAGCAAGCAGGCCGAGGTAGGCGCCAGCGTGGCGGCCGCGGGTCCCTGAGCGGCGCAGGCCTTCAGGCCGCCTGGGGGAACACGTCCTGTGCAGCATCTCAGGGGACAGCTGCCATCCAGCGGGCACATTATGTGGCTCTCGGGCCAGCGCGGTCCTGGGGCGGGCAGGTGTGGACCCCCAGGCTCTGGGGCCTTTGGGTGGAGCCCGGTGTTGCTGTTCCAGGCCAAGAAAGCCCAGCAGCTACAGCAGCCCCAGCCCTCGAGGCCTCGGCTGCACCAGGCGCAGCGGGAGTCCAAGCGGAAGGGCTCGCTCAAGAGCGAGAAGACGGTGCGCCAGCTGCTGGGCGAGCTCTACGTGGACAAGGAGTACCTGGAGAGGCTGCTGTTGGACGAAGGTGCCAACGCGGCGCGAGCTGGGGCACAGGGCACGGCCAGACCCCAGGTGGACCTGCCGGGGAGCCTTGGCTACCATGTCCTGGTGGACAGCATCTTAGAGACGGTCTCACTATGTAGTCCAGACTGGCCTAGAGCTCACTGTGTAACCCACGCTGGCCTTAAGCTTTCGGTGATCCTCCTGCCTCAGCCTCCTGAGTGCTGAGATTAAAGGCGTGCACCAGTACGCCTGGTTTAGACGGGTCTCCTCTGACAAGGCAGCTGGAAAGGGCAGACCCCCTAGACCAGGGGCCTCTGGGGAGTGGCCTGCCCGCACCCCTTGTCACCAGGAAGGGCAGTCCCAGGACAGACTGGCAGGGCACCTCCTCAGGCCCTCGCTGACCCGGCTGTCCTGCTCGTAGATCTCATCCGGGGGACCATCCGAAGCGGTGTGACGGTGGAGGACCTCATCTTGACGGGCATCAACTACCTGGACACCCGCAGCAGCTTCTGGCAGCAGCAGAAGCCAATCTATGCCCGCGAGCGCGACCGGAAGCTGATGCGGGACCGCTGGCTGCGCGACCGCGGGCGGACGCCGGCGCAGACGGTGCACTACGTGCTCAAGAGCCTGGAGGACATCGACATGCGTGCGTGCGCGGGCCGGGGCGGGCCGGGGCGGGCCGGGGCGGGCCGGGGCGGGCCGGGGCGGGCCGGGGCGGGCCGGGGCGGGCCGGGGCGGGCCGGGGCGGGCCGGGGCGGGCCGGGGCGGGCCGGGGCGGGCCGGGGCGGGCCCTCCTGGAGAGGGGCGAGCCTCAGCCCGGCGTCCCCCCAGTGCTGAGTAGCGGCAGCGCCGAGAGCAGCCTGCAGAAGGCCGAGAAGGTGCTGAAGAAAGTTCTGGAGTGGGGCCCCGACGACGTACCCAACAGGGACGAGCTGCTGGGCAACCTGTACAGCTGCATCGGGAATGCGCAGCTGGAGCTGGGGCAGACGGCAGCCGCGCTGCAGAGCCACCGCCGGGACCTGGACATCGCCCGGGAGCAGTGAGTCCCGGCCCGCTTCGGGACCCAGGACGGGGCCTCCATCCTGAGCTCCGTCCTCAGGCCTTTTCACTTCTTAAAGTTTGAGGGCGTTGCTGAATTGCCCCAGCTGGGCTCAAACTTGAGATCCTCCTGCCTCAGCCTCCCAGGATGGTGGGATTATAGTTGTGCGCCACCATGCCTGGTATTTCTGTTCTTGCATCATCTCCACAAACACACATCACCAGACACGCCCCCTCCTGGCAGCGTGGGGGGACACAGCAGCGACCAGACACTGCAGTTGTCAAACCAAAACACCCCCAGCTGCTCCTGCCCACCGAGAGGGCTGCTAGGCCTGGAGGTGGCCTGCAAGGGCTGCAGTGAGGGGCTGGGGGAGCAGGTCCGCAGAAAATGCGGTATGGCTGGGCACTGGGCTGTATGGGCAGCCTGAGCTTTGGAATGTGCCCTGTCCTGCTGTGGGACCGTGGCCTGGTCCTGGTCACCTCCACCTCCACCCCACCCCATCAAGTGAACACCACAGCCCAGGGCCACGGCACGTGTCTGTCATCACAGCCCTCAGGAGGCTGAGGCAGGAGGGTTGCTAATTCAAACCAGCCTGGTCATCTTAGTGACTTAGCAAGACCTTGTCTTGAAAAAATAAAAAGGAGCTGGGGTTTTAGCTCAGCGGTGTAGAGTTAGCCTGGCAGGCACGAGGTCATGAGTTCGATTCTCAGTACCCAAAAAAAAGGGGGTGGTTGGGGATGCAGCTCAGTTTAAAGGCCCTGGGTTCAATCCCTGGTATGGCAAAAAATGAACAAATAAAAACAAACGAACAACCAAAATACCCAACCGCACCCAGCCCAGGCGGAAGGGACTCTGATCCGAAAAGTTGTGGGCCAGGAACCTGGGACAGCCGGGTGCGCAGGGCTCTGTGGGTGGCGTCCCCAGCACTGGGAACGGGTCAAGACCCTCACAGTAACCAGCGCAAAGGGCTCTCGGCAGGCTCTCGCTTTGTGGGTGCCTCCGTCCGCCTTTCCTGCCTCCCCGCCCCGCAGCTGGGTGTCCCCTCCGCTCTGGTCCCCCTTCCTCAGCGCCCCGGCCCGCTGCACAGCTGCCCTCCCCGCCTCGCTGTCCCCCCAGCCCCCGTGGAGGGCCCTCTCCGCTGCCTCAGCCTGCACTCGGCACTCAAGGCCCCTCCAAGCCCACGCTGCGCTGCCCCACAGCCCCGCACTTAGCCCGAGCCACAGGTGTCTCCTGGCTCTGTCCTCCCCGGTCAGGCACTGGCCACCTCGGACTGGACAAAGCGCCCAGGGTCGGAGACAGCGGAGCCAGATGCGTGCACCGGCGTCCAGATGTGGGTTCCAGGCTCCTGTCTCACAGCCGTGCAGGCGTAGTGGCCGCACAGACACTGCCCTGAGCCGCAGGGACTCAGCCACACAGCCGTGCAGCGGCAGGCTCGCCACGCCCGTCCACGCGAGTCCCCTCTTGCTCTGGGGCCCCGACCTGCAGTGACTCCGGGCCAGGAGCCAGGGGTCTTCACGACTCTCCCCTCCCTCCCTCCCTCCCTCCCTGGCTTCCGTCCCTTCTGCGCCTCGGCGGTCACCTCGGCTCCTGTGACTTGGGCTCCTGGGCCCTGAGCCCCTGAGGGAGGATAGACCCAGAGCCCAGATGAAGCGCCCAGGGCTGAGACCGCCCACAGCCAGCGCCCTCCCTGCCTGGCGCTGGACACGGATGCCTCCCTCACCCCTACGTGGCGTCTCCAGCCCCCTCACAGCATTCGGAGAACAGCCCTGGCCGTGCCCAGGAGCGCACACCTGTGACCCCATGCTGACACTCAGGAGGCTGAGGCAGGAGGATCCCTGTGAGGGAGCCGGCGGACCACAGCCTTGCTGGCCTGGGCCCCTCCTCCCCCGGCTGGAGCGCCAAGTGCCCATGGCCAGGGCTCCCTCTCTTGGGGTCCTGTGAGTGGCTCACTCTGCCCTCCCTCCACAGCGACATCCCTGATGCGAAATCCAGGGCCCTGGACAACATTGGCAGGGTTTTCGCCCGCACCGGGAAATTCCAGCAGGCCATTGACACGTGAGTGACAGACTCTCAGGGCAGCTCCTTTGCCTGTCTCTGGGTTTATTTGTTTGTTTTTGTTTTTCTTCCGGTACCAGGAATTGAACTCACGACCTTGCGCTTGCCAGGCAGGCGCTGTGCCGCTGAGCTAAATCCCCAGCCCCTGTCTCTGGGTTTAAACCCACGCAGATGCTGGTGCCCCCAGCCCTGGAAGCTGCTTTAAACTCGGGGCCTCCATGAAGTGAGGTCACGCAACAGAATCTGCATTTGTGCCAGATTCCCCAGCGGCCGGGGCTACTCTGGAGGCTGAGGCGGGAGGATCACAAGTCTCCCAAAATCAGTTGAACTTTCTCGGGGTCAGAGTCACCTGGAAAGCTGGTTAGGCCTAAGGGAGAGTTCACCTCTGCCCTGGATACGGGACACTGCAGACCCGGGCTGGGGCTCTGGAGCTGGGGTCCTGCAGCTGCAGGCTCTGGACGGGCTGCGTGTGACTCACAGGACAGGGTTGGCTCAGCGGGGCCCCAGGGAGGCCCAGGCCCAAGGGAGCAGCTCCCTGGGCTTGGTCATGCTTCTGCTTCCTGGGGAGGAGTGGTCCTGCCAGCTGTTCGGGCTGTGTCAGGAGATGGCTTCCTCCCAGCAGCGGTGGCCTGTGACTCCGCTTCCCCACTCCCTTGGCATCTGTGTGCTGACAGAGGGGATCAGTGTGCCCCACCCCTTACAGCCCCACGTCCCACACTGCTTTAGGGTAAGGATGAGCTTACTGTTGACCATTCATCGGGAAAACAGGAAAGTAGCAGAGCTGGGCATGAGGGGAACATCAGAATCCCAGCACTCTGGGAAGCTGAGGCAGGAGGATAGCAAGTTCAAGCCCAGCCTGGACAACTTAAGGATTTGGAGAGATCCTACCTCAAAATGAAGTATAAACAAAGGCTGGAGATCTAGTTCAGCGTGAAGGGTCTGGGTTCAATCTCCGGTATTGAAAAAAAGAAAGAAGGAAAGAAGAAAAAGTAGCAGAATTATTTGGCACTACTACCCAAAGACAAGTAAAAGTAATTCTACTCTTATGTCTTTTGTTTTTCCCTCTAATATTTTTTCTCTGTTGATTTTCTCACAGATAGATAGATAGGTAGATAGCCAGGGATATATAGCTTAGCGGCACAAGCACCTGCCTGTCAAGCACAAGGTCCTGAGTTCGATTCTTGATACCAAAAAAAAAAAAAAAAAAAAAAAAGGATAGATAGATAGTTTTGGGTTTTTTTGAGACAGGGTCTCACTATGTGGTCCAGGCAGGCCGTGAACTCCCTGTGTAGCTCCTACAGAGATCCCGCCTCAGCCACCTAGAGTGCTGGGATTGAAGGCCCATGCCACCATGCCCAGCACTTTGGTAGCTTTGCTCTGTGTTCATGCTGCCCATTCACCCTGGCCTGGCGCTGGAGGAATTTCCTTCTACCCCCGGGCTAGGGGTGGGGAAGCGCTGACCCGGTTGCCCCCAGGTGGGAAGAAAAGATCCCTCTGGCCAAGACTGCGCTGGAGAAGACCTGGCTGCTGCACGAGATCGGCCGCTGCTACCTGGAGCTAGACCAGGCCGTGCAGGCCCAGCACTACGGGGAGAAGTCGCTGCAGTTTGCCGAGGAGGAGGGCGACATCGAATGGCAGCTGAACGCCAGCGTCCTGGTGGCCCAGGCACAAGGTAGCTCAGAGCAGGCCACCCCACTGTCCTGGCCCTGGGTTCAATCTCTAGTATCAAAACAAGAAAAAGAAGTCTGAAGGAAGCACAAACACAACACAGAGATCAAGAGAGAGCAGTATACATCTATAGTCCCAGCTAGTAAGGATGCTGAGGCAGGAGCATCTCTTGAGTGCATGAGCTGCAAGCCAGCCTGGGCAACACAGTGAGATCCTGTCTGAGAGCAACAGTTTAAAACAAAACATAAATAAATGTACATCCAAGTTACTTTTCCTGTAAAGTGAGAACAGGGAAACAGCACAGAAAATGACCAGTCACCTCTTCTGTAAGAGTCAAGGCCCAGTGGCAGTTGGCGGGGCTGGGAAATGTGGCTGTTATCTGCCTCGGTCCTGTCCTGTGTAAGGTCAGATAAACGGCTTGGGTTCATCTAGGAGCAGCAGAACTTTAGCGTCAGTGATGCCACTTGGATTTTTTTTTTTTTTTTTAATTTTTTTTGGTCTTTTTGGGCAGCTTCTCACAATGCAGTTCAGGCTGCCCTCAAGCTCACTTTGTAGCCCAGGCTGGCCTCGAACTCGCAGTTATCTTCCTGCCTCAGCCTCCCAAGTGCTAGGATTAAGAGGCATGCTCCACCACACCCAGCAGCCACTTGGATTTTTGAGACAGGGTCTCACTATGTAGCCCAGACTGGCCTCAGAATCACGGTGAGCCTCGTGCCTTGGCCTCCCCAGTGCTGGGATGTCAGACGTGCACCAACAAGCCTGGCTTCACTTTGATTTTGAGCCTGATCTGGTTGAGGCCTAGTGCTGGAGCTTGCTGTGGCCTATCATAATTTTTATACAAATCCTGGGTTTGGACCCTGGCCTGGCCCACCCCGCTAGGTAAATGTTTTGCCACTGTGCTGTAACCCCAGCCTTTTCAAAATTTTGAGAGAGGGGCTGGGGATTTAGCTCAGCGGCACAGAGCCTGCCTGGCAAGCGCAAGGTCATGAGTTCGATTCCTGGTACCGAAAAAAAAAAAAAAAAACAAAATTTTGAGAGAGTCTTGCTAAGTTGCCCAGGCTGACCTCAAATTTGAGGTCCTCCTGCCTCAGCCTCCTGAGTAGCCCTAGCTGGTTGTTAATCAGGGAGCTAAACTCCCCAGGGGTGCAGCTAGTGGGAGGGGGTCGTGCTGGGTGTGACCATCCTGGGCAGTCACCACCTGTCGTCGTACCACACACACCACCCACACCTCACAGGGGCTGCGCTGGGCTCTTTGCAGCAAGAGGGGCTGGGCCCTTGGAGAGTTCAGTGTGGCTCCACCCACAGCCAGTGTGGCTGCTGGTGCGGGTCCCTGCAGTGATGCACGTTGGTCCTGCAGGCTCCGGGCCAGAGTCCCGGGCTGCCCCAGGGAGTGCAATTTTCTTTGTCACGTGTGTGTGGGAGACCGACTTTTTTTTTGGTCTTTTTGAGACAGGGTCTGGCTGTGCAGTTCAGGCTGGCCTTGAGCTCACTTAGTAGCCTAGGCTGTTCACAAACTCACAAGGATCCTCCTGTCTCAGCCTCCCAAGTGCTGGGATTATAGGCATGGGCCACCATGCCCAGCATAAAATACTTTTTACAATGACACTGAGATTGAACCCAAGGCCTTGGCACAGAGTGCACCCCAGCCCTTCTTATTTACAGACAGGGACTTGCTAAGTTGTAAGCTGGAACTTGGCATCCTCCTGCCTCAGCTTCCCCAGTACCTGGGATGAGGTCTGTGCCTACCACACCAGGCTGTTTTTGAAATTTCAGGATGTCCATGACAAAGTGTGGGCACCCCGCCGCCACCCCAGGGGACGCTTGAGAGCTGGACTAGCCCGGCTGCCCCGTCCTGGGGCCCCCCACGCCTCAGCTGGGGCCTGGCCACTCCTTGGGGTGGAGGCAGTGAGGGGGCGGGCCGGCCTGGGACACAGGGTCACGGCCCGCAATGGCCCCTCCCTCGCCCCAGTGAAGCTGAGAGACTTCGAGTCGGCCGTGAACAACTTCGAGAAGGCGCTGGAGCGGGCGAAGCTGGTGCACAACCAGGAAGCACAGCAGGCCATCATCAGCGTGAGGGGCGGGGCCGCCCAGGGGGTGCCCTGGTGGGCGGGACCCGGCGAGGGGGCGGTGTCCCTGGGGGTGGGGCCTGCGCTGGGCGGGGCCTCCGCCTTCTCTGCTCTTGGAGACTGCTGCAGTTTATTGTCTGCCGCCGGGCACACGCGGGGTCCCGAGTCCTCACGCACGGGGCCCCTGAGAACAGGGTGGCACACGCCGGTGATCCCAGCACTCAGGAGGCTGAGGCAGGGGGATTGCCGTAGGTTCAAGGCCAGTTTGGGCTACATAGACTCTGTCTCAGAAAACCAAATGGGGAAGAAGTTCCCCGGGCCTGAGTCGTGCCGGGTCTGGCTGGGGCCCTGGTGCCCAGGAAGCTCGGTGTCAGCAGGAAGGTTAGGACGGGACACCAGGGGATGCGGAGTGACAACACAGCCTCCTGGGAGGGATGGGGTCACCTTGAAGGGCCAGCCAGCGGTGGAGAGAAGGCGCCGCTGGCCCATGGTGTCTCCCCATGGGACGGGTTCCCAACCCCTCACCTCCTAGCCTGGCAGCTCCCGAGGGGCCTCCAGGGGCCAAGGCCGGCACCCCGCGTTGGAAGGGGACAGACGGGTGCTCTGGCGACACTTCTGGCTGGTGCTGTGACCGTGAGGAGGAAGAGGGTGGAAGCTGCCCTCGGGACCTGGCCACTATGCAGGAGGCTGAGGCAGGAAGGCTGCTTGAGCATAGGGCTGCAAAGCCAGTGTGGAGAGCATAGTGAGAGCCTGCCTTACAAATAAAAGGCCCATGGGCTGCGCCTCAGGCCCTGGGAAGCCACTTTAAGGAGCTGGTCCCCCCACTGCCCCTCCTTGGACTTGCAGCGTTCAGGAGGCCAAGGGCAAGTGGAGGTGGCCGGACTCGAGCTCACACCTGCCACTCCTGTCACCTAGTGCCACCATGGCACTTGGGGCCGTGAGGCTCGGGTCCGCCCCAGCCCCAACAAACAACTGCGAGGCCGAGGACACGCTCCCTGCTGAGCCTCAGGTCTGGGGTCCTCTCCAGCAGAAGGGAAGGGGCCCACAGGTGCCTCCGGGGCCTTTTCGACGAAGGCCCAAAGAAGGAGCAAGCACAGGTGAACAGTGCTCACCGAGCCCTATGTGGTGGCATGCCTGCTATCCCAGCTGTCTGGGAGGCTGAGGCAGGAGGATCCCGAGTTCAGTTCCCAGCACTGAAAGAAAGAAAAGAGAAAGCCAGAGCTCACCAGTTCCTCCACCCCCACAGGCCCTGGATGACGCGAACAAGGGCATCATCGAAGAGCTGAAGAAAACCAGCTACAAGGAGACGTTCAGAGTGGCAGGTGAGGCCCTGGACCAAGGGGGCAGCTCCGTGTCCCCTCTGCCTTTTCTCCTGGGGCCTCGGCCAGGGTGGCACTGCCCACTGAGCTGCCCTCTACCATATCCTCCTCTTTCTCCTTTTTTTGTTTTTGTTTTTTGAGGCAGGGTCTCGCTATGTAGCCCAGGCTGGCCTTGAACTTGTTGGTGATCCTCCTGCCTCAGCCTCCCAAGTGCTGGGATTACAGGTGTTTACTACTGTGCGTGGCCTCCATTTTGTGGTCCTGTGGATTGCACCCAGGGCCTCTGCATGGAGTTCCATCCCCAGCCCCTTTTTATTTGAGACAGGGTCTTGCTAAGTTTCCCAGGCTGGGCTTGAACTCGGGGCTTATTTGGTTTGTCAAGTTATTCATCAAAAAAAAAAAAAGTTATTCAGCAAGCAGCTGCATGCCTGTTGTCACAGTGCTTTGGGAGGCTGAAGCAGGAGCATCTCAAGTTCAAGCCCAGCTTGGGGAACTCAGCAAGACCCTGACTCAAAATGCAAACTAAAAAAAGGCAGGGAGGCAGCTCAGTGTGAAGACCCAGGTTCCATCCCAGCACCGAAAGACAAAGTTATTCACACAATATGTACTTGCCTCCTGCCAGGAAGGGCTCCATTCGGGAGACGGGGGCTGCGGGCGGGCATTTTTCCAAGTGGCGGGGCAGGAGGGGCCTTTCCAGCACACCCATGTCTAGCAGTCCCTCTTGTGCCCTCACGCCCGGGCTGGCACTGCTGTGGTGGACCTGGAGACCGTACTCTGCCAATCACAGCCAGGGAGGTGGAGCCAGCGGCCAGACCCACTCTTCTAGCACGGCCGGGAGCTGTGCCTCTGCTTTCTTTCACAGGGCCTCAGGAGGCGGAGGTCTGGGGTCGCTGCCTCCCGATGTGGGAGGCTGAGGCAGGAAGATCCCACTTAGAGGGTTGGTGCAGCCACCTGGGGGAAGAGAGTGGCAGCTGGCCTCCCCTCAGGGACGTGTCCCCACATTGCCGCAGGAGGTGCACTCCTGGCACACACCAGCAGGTGGCAGTGTCGTTTACCTTGTCACCTCCAAGGTCTGTGACCTTTGGCAGCTGCTGCAGGTGCCTTAGGGACCTTAGCTTCCAGGAAGAGCTCAGGGCAGGTGCAGGAAGGGCCTGGCGACTCTAACGGATCAGCGTGGAGCCAGACCCCTGGGCGGCGAGCTGGGGCTGCAGCTCCACCAACAATTTTTTTAAATTTTGCACCCTGGGGCAGGGTCTCGCTGTGCAGTTCAGACTGGCCTTGCACTCGCCGTGTCGCCCGTGTGCTCTCCTCCCGCGTCCTGTTTTGCAGACGAGGTCCTTACGGTGGTCGAGGAGGAGCCGGAGCCGGCCACGAAGGAGCCGAAGCGCACGCGGGATGCACCCGAGCGGGCGATGCGACAGTGGGACAGGGAGCCGGGGAGGGGGTCGTCGGACGAGGAGCTCCCGGCGGCCCTGCAGGGAGCGGGGAGAAACACGAGCCGAGGGGGCTCTGCGGAGGAGGAGCAGGTCTCTGTGGGCAGGACGCCGCCGCCTGCGGGACCAGGAGGGACCAGAGAGCTCTACCGGCGGCCCTCGCAGGAGCTGGCGGGCGTCCCGGGACAGCCCCGCCGGGAGGCCCCGAGGGGACCCGGGGGGACGGGGCCCGCGGCCGGTGGCGGAGAGGTGGGCCTGGAGGAGGCCGAGGAAGGCGGCGCCCGCTAGGGGCCTGGGCTCGGACCCGTCCTGCTGCGCTCCCCGAGCCACCGGTTTCCAGGCTGAGGAGCACACAGGGCCGCGTCCGCGGTCACCTCGGCCTCCCCTGTCGCTGGCTGCCCATTAAATGTGATCTTCCGCTTCACAAGTCCGGGTCCTGGCACTTTTTCCTGCACCCACCCTTTTTTTTTCTTTCCTGTGTGGGGGGTTGAACCAGGGCCTTCACGCCGCGCTCCACCTCCAGCCTTTCTTTTAGTTATTTTGAGACATGGTCTCGCTCATTGGTAAGTCACTAAATTCAGGCTGGGCTTGAATTTGCGACCCTCCTGGCTCAGCCTCCCAGAGGGTCTAGGAGAGGAAATGGGGATGAAGAAGGAGGTACAGCCGGAACCCCGACGACGCCAAGGCAGGAACGAGAAAGCCCCGGGTCCGGGTCTGCGGCGCTGGCACAGGGGCAGGAGGTGGGTGCTGGGTCCCAAGGGTGCACTGTGCTCCCCAGGCCCCAGGAGGAGGAGCGAGGTGGGGGCTGGGCAGGGGAAAACCACAGCCACTTCCTGGTGGCGGTGCCTAAAACTCAGCAAGTGGGTTCTGTTTGGGTGCTAAAAATGGAGCCCAAGGCCGTATGCACGGCATGAGCTGCAGTTCCAGCCCTCAGGAGGCTGAGGCAGGATGATCGCTGAGTTCGAGGCCAGCCTGGGCTATATAGCATGACATTGTCCCCCCAGAAAAAGCTACATATATACTCATGAAACGGTGTAGAAATCCAAAAGCAGATGATTTTTTCTTTGTGAAACTGGAGATTACTCTCAGAGCCTTCACACTAAGCTACATCCTGAGCCCTTTTCGCAAAGGCAAAAAAAAAAAAAAGTCCCCAGTAAGGCAAAAACAAAACAAAACAAAAAACCCCACAGGCAGAGCAGCTGCTCCCCCTCCAGGGCCCTTGACCCTCTTGATCAGTTTCGGTTTCCCGCCAGCAGCGCCTGCGCGGGGAAGCCCCGCCCCTACTCCTACCTCAATTCGGCCCCGCCCCTGTCCCCGCCCCATTCGCCTGCGGAGCCATAGAACGGCCACGCGGGGGTCCCGCCCAGCCTAAGGCCCGCCCCTCCAGACCCGGCCCCGCC